AATTCAACACACAGTACTGTCTGCTCCAGGCAATTTGTGCGGCAAAAACACACGCTTTCACCATCATTATGGCCGACCAGGAAAAGCAGATTCGAAGTCAGTGGCACAACATTGCTTCCAGATCACATTATGGCCTCTCTCGTTACGTAATTAAGAGGACCCATCTGGTATGGGCAGCGCTCCCTGACACTAATTGTGTTGGTGTGCACATGGCCGTCCCATTGAGCAAAAAAAGACCTCCAACATTTGAATCCATTATCTCCTACTGTTCAGATTAAGGCGCACATGTTGCCGGGGAGATTATGGCGGAGGGTCGAGCGACGCTTGTGTCTAGTAGGGTCGAGGCTTGAGGATTAAGTCTGTGGATTGGTAACCCTATTGGTTAAGTACTTCCAGCAATCTAGTCACATGCCGGGTGTGCTGTGTCTTAACAAGTAACTCCTTTATGTGTAGGAGATAATCGGTTTTGACCGATATTCATACTTTTTTATACTTTCCAACTTAATCATATATAGGAGTTCTTTAACTTTGGGTCTATTTGGCAAGTCTCTACAACACCTAACTCACCCAACAATAGGTAATAAAATTGTATGTATTATTGGAAGAATTAATCACCTTTTTTCAAATAACAGCCATTCATTCTCAAGTTATAAATGTATATCTTAAAATTGAGCTAATATAAATAATAAAATGTATTTTTGAACATTATTATTATCACCAATTTAAATTTTGAAAAAAAAATATATATAATATATAAAAAATATATATATAATAGCAAAATTACATGAATTATATTTTATCATTATTATTATTATTAATAATAATAATAAAAATGCATATGTTGCTATTGTAGTTTAAGTTCAGTTTTGAATTTCAGTTATTGGATAGTTAATTCTTAACATTAAAATAATCCCTCACTATCGATCATAAAAACAATATATCAATCGATTGTGTGCTGTTGTGTGATAACCCTGTCCTTTTGGTTGTGTCAGCTGCAAAAACAGCGCAGTATTTACCTTCTCATCACCGATTTATTCTACATCTTAGCCTTTTTGCTGTCAGGTAAATGTGTTATTGCTTTTAAACATCAAGTGATGTGTATAAATAGCCTTGGCAAAATGTAGGGTAGGTCAGATATGAGAAAAAAAACGTATGTCTAAAATGAATAAATCAATCATCGCTTACAGCCGAGCTAGAGTGTTGCAGGATAAGTGATACCTTAGCATTCGAAAACCCAGCTGTCTAGACAGCCCTTTTCCCCCCAAACAGACAAATCAATATATATTGATTACCCACTATGCCCTGGGGAATGACACGGATACGCTGCTTGGCAGGCAAGTGCACTGAACGGACCGAAGAGGAGCTCGAATCTGTTTAAGTGTGCCACCCTGACTGAATTTGTGTTCACCTGATCTCGACTTTGCCTCTCATGCACTGTTGCTCAGCGGTAGGAAGAGAACCGCAATCAAACATGGCACATGTCTCCTACCATTTGCTCGAGCGAGATGAGTACTAGCTGGAGAGTTTTCTCTTAGTGTTTTCACTAAGATGTGATGTAGCCAGAAGCTACATGAGAATTTCTTAGCAGAGACAAAAAAATTTAAATAAATAAATAAGAGAACATTTATGCTATCGCTATCATGAGACACTATATCATGTACCTTGGCTATGCAAACAAGAATGACCTATTTAAGAGCCGTGGCATCTAGTCTTTCTAGTTAATGGGTGGTGGTCCGGTGCCTTATTCATTTTAATAGAGAGCCCGGAGACAGTGTGTGGCATTAGCTAGCTCTGTTTCTCTCTGCTCTGCTGGTCTGTGTTCCTGCAGCAAGACTTGTTACCTGTCGCCTCCCTCCTCGCTGCCCGTGGCTGACATTCTCCTTCTCTCACTCCTAATTGCCCCTGTGGGACTTATCAGGGCTGCTGTGGCTGTCTGCAGTGTGGCTGAGCTTTCAGCGAGGGCCGCGCTCGAGGCCCCACCTCACTCGCTTTCTCTCTCTCCCGCTTCCCGCTGCCTGACTAACTCCCCGCGTCCTCCACAGGTGTCGCCGGTCTTCCTCGTCCTCCCTCACCTGTCAGCCCCCGCCTCACTCGGCTTCTGAGGGGATTGTGTCTTTGAAAGAAAAAGAAAAAGAAAACCTAAAAATAAATAGGAAATCTGATGTCTCAAGGTCAGACTGCATGGTAAATTGCCTGATCTGAAAATAACAGCAGATAACGTTCAGGCAGACGTAAGAGAGGTGCTATTGAGGTTAATTTGTTTTGTCTGTGTTTTGGATAGCAGACAACTGTGGCCCTGTTTATGGCAGGCACCCGGTGAGTTAATTACTTTATCGTTGCATTAATTGAAACATGAAAAATGAAAACATACTAGTGTAACACAGTCAGTTTAAAGGTGATATTCTACAGTTTGTGGGTTGGGTTCTCAGAAACTCTGTGGTCTGTTGTGCTTTCATAACGTTGGTTATGGCTGGCTGGTGTAGCTTCCACACCAGTCTGACACAGCAACAGTGGCTCAGCCAATGGCGTGAGTGTGGGCGGGACTTTAGACCAATCGCTGACAGGGAGAATGTTTGGGAAAACTTTTAAAAGCAAATTTACGCACTGCAGCTTTAGTTAATTGTGAAGTTTGCCAAAATCTGTTTATATTGTAATTAACAAAAATGTTATTTTGAGTTTTATCATGTTCATGTTATAATAATAATAAAATAACCAGTGGTTAGTAACATAAAATGTTCTAAATCCCAGGCCAGAACATAACATACTCACGCTTTCCCCTTTTTCATTTTGAAATACACATAAAAATAAGTCTTATTTTTAGCACTTACTTTCACCATGCTGTGCCATGCAAAGCATGCTGTAAAATGGAAACAAACTAGGTAAAGTTGTATTTTTAAATTAATGTTTGGGGGATTATCACATTTTAATAAAATCAAGGAAATGCCAGTGTCAAAATATTTTTCAATTATTGCCACACACTCATCAAGTGAAGCAAACTATATATTATAGACTATTTCTTCTGTGAATCACAAATGAAAATATTTTAAGGATGGTTGGGGTCCAACATTCATTTTTCCCCCCAAATTATCTTTGCATTTTACAGAAGAAAGACAGTCATGCAGAATGAGGTTAATAGGCATTTGGATTATCACCCTCTAGTGGCACCTTTACGTTATGATAATAGTGGGTTTGAAGGTTTAAGAAAGGCTGCAACGGAAGCTAACATTAAATATTATTCGGTTTACGTTTTTTGTTATTTTTTGTTTGCTTTTTTTGGAACAACATAAGTGTGTGTACTGTAAATGATGAAATATTTTTTTCATTTTCGTCTAAATTATCCTTTTAAGGTACTCAATCATGACTTTCACAGTAGAAGACTGACATAAAGAGTCTGTAGTTGTGGATCAGCATGTATCAAAATGGCACAACAGTGAGCCTGTAAAATGAAGTGCTATGTGAAACCATAGTGTTCCATTGAGTTCTCCTAGTTTTGTGCTTATATTTAAGGACAGCAGGGGAATATTCATCCTTCACTATCCATCTCCCTCTCAGCAGGGTGGACTTGTAAATGAAGGAGCAGACATTTTGTGCTGGAAACTGTGTCTGTTCACTCTGACACACCATGTAACAAAACCGCTTTAGATCCAGCTGAGTTCCCCCGGCAGGACTGTGTCAAGGGATTTGCCAGGTCACAGAGCTGAGCAAAATGGCTGCCTGAGTTTGACTAATGTGCTACAGGATCCCGCTCTCTTTGCCCAGGAGTTTTGGGTGGCTGAAATTCATTAAAGAGCAGCATCCATAAACTACAATTGTTGGACATAACAGGGCCCGCTTTTTCCATCTCGCTTTCCTGTTTGTACTGAAATACACAGATAGAATCATGCGCACACTTATATTTATACATACGTAGAGCTCCCATGATCATTTCTAGCTCATTGACTTTGACAGCAAATCAATATCCTGCGCTATCTATTGTTACCTAATTCAATTAGGCCAATTCATAAAGCAGAGCATAATGGAGCTAATGGAAAGCGCTATTAGGGGAATAGCAGCACCATTTAAGTCACGCACGGAACTACGAAAGTCAGTTCGGCATTGCAATTGTGCATTTCCATCTGAATCGCTGGCCCTCAGCCGCCACTCTTCCCGGATGAAGGGCGATGTTGACCTGATGCATTTTTACACCAATGGAGAGAGGTGCACCAATGTCGCAAGCAATATTATAAATCAAAAACCAAAGGTACTTAAACGCGATTCATTGAGAGGCCCGTGTCTCACCCTCGCCACTTTGCGCCATCACATTTGCAATCTGCTTGATAAACTGCAAGAGGGAGCGAGGGCAGGCGTTCAGTTGCAGATAAAGCCGCAGATTGATGTGGAAACAGGAAACGTGCTGATTGCTGATTATTATGTGGTGGCAGCATGCTTTTGTCTCTCAGACTGTCATTCCAGCAGGTTAGTTCAGAGCCAGCAGGCTATTGTGACCGTGCATTCTGATAAAACCCAACACACTTTGGTTGTTGGGTTTTTTTGAGGGCCGGCTGAATTCAATAGCGCTGCGAGTGTTTAGATCTTTAAAGCAGGGCATTTAGAGAGCATACGTATTGATTCATTGATTACAGATTTGCGAGAGCTCGCCCATTGGCCCGCTTTGCAGTATTTTAAGAGTCGGAGGTTAATGGATAGGTGGAAAAAAAGCCTTTCTGCCTTTTATAGCGATGGCTGCAGCACTTTGAATGGCCTCTGGTTTTATACTTCATGAATGTGGGACGCCAATTATATAGATATCAGAGCCTTGGCCACAAAACGTACAGTGGAATTGTTGTCTTATGGCGAGTGTTTCAAAGATATCTTTAATAAGGGGATGGCTGTCGTATGATACAGGAGCTCAAGTTGCCTTTAATTAGGAAGGGAAGCATTGCCAGCAGCCTTGGGATAACACCGTGAGACTTTGCCCAATAACTGATTGTTTTTCAATTCCTTTTTCTCTCTTATTACAGGTACTGTGTGGCTCGCTGGCAGCCGGAAGGACTATGAGGGTGGCTGCCGCATGCACTGCAGAGCTCTGTAACTTTGGCAGATAGGATCATTATACCCCTGTAAGACACCCTAAGAGCGGAAAAGATGAAGACTTGGATTGTACTTCTTCTGTGGGCATGTGCACACCAGAGTGTGAATGCAGTTGCCCTTTCAAGAGGGCCAGTTCGAAGGAAAACCAAAGAAATTGAAGGACGACAAGACAAAGATTTGCTCAGACGTTCAAAGAGAGGATGGATGTGGAGACAGTTTTTTCTTCAAGAGGAGTACACAGGAACAGAGCACCAGTATATTGGCAAGGTATGGGATTGTGTTTCTTTTCCAGGGTATAAAGGTGGTGTGAGCAGTGCTGGAGTAATATTGATGGAGTCGATTGCAGAGATTTGGTTTCATCACTCCTGTCTTCTGAGGTTAATAAACAGAGAATGATCAAATCTATGGCTATGCCATATGTAGGGATCTCCAGCATAGAGCCTGCTGGATTTGAGATAAGGAGCAGGGTGAAATCTGACCTCTCTTGTACCTCACACTTCATCTGAACCTCAGAGTTGCTGAGGATCAAAGATTAGAATAAAATATAGCAGCTTGATACTGTTGCTTATAGCAGAAGATCTCAAACTGTGGCCCTCAGTTGGTAGGCGACACAACTCAGAATTTACAATGCTAAAAATATAAGATCATCAGTTTAAAATGTTAATTCATTAAAATATTCTGTAAAAAACAACAACAATTGACTGTGTAAACAGAACTGGGGGGGAGGCTCAAGAAGCATCACATTAGTGAAAAAATCACTAATGTGACGCAATATCAAATACGATATGTGAAAAATTGCACCAGTATTAAAAATGTGATCAATACAGATAAAGTCGATCGTAATTTTCATTTTAAGACTAAAATAATTGTACAATATGAAAAATTTATATTAATAAGAATACATGTAACTTTGTTATTGAATTATTCATTTTATTAAAGATTAGATGATGGCAGGGGAAATGAGCATTTCACAATTAAATATCCAATATCAACATACCAATATAAACAAATAAAAGTAACAATAACCAATATACTACATATATTATGCATCCCTAAATATACACTAAAGTTCAAAATGTTTGTGGTAAGTAACTGTGACAAGTGGGGGCGTGGCCGAGAGCCGTGGGAACGGAGCGAGGCCGGTGGAGTAATTGATAATGAGCGACACCTGCACCACTCACCGGTCTCGAGTCCCACGGAGGAGCTCCGGAAGGATAAAAGGAGGAGTTAAGACAGTGAAAGGAGAGAGGACCAGGCCTGGATTTTATTTTGTGTTTTGTGTGCGGTAGTCGTCCGCGAGAGGCTGCCGCTTTACTTTCATTTTGTGTTTGTTTATTTTATTAAAGTCTTTAAATGTTCGCCGGTTCCCGCCTCCTTCTTCCCGTGACTACGAACGTTGTTACAGTAACATTTTTATTTTGAAATAAATGAATACTTTTATTCATCAAGGACACATTAAATGGAAAAAGTGACTTATTAGTAAAGACGATACAAAAATTATATTTCAAATAAATGCTGTTCTTTTGTATTTTCTATTCATTAAACAGTCCTAAAAAATCAAATTTTCCACAAAAATATTGTTAATAAAAAAAATGATGTTTGAGTACCAAATTAGCATATTAGAATGATTGATCTCTATAGGATCAAAAACATCAAGAAATCTTATTGACACCAAACACGGATTTGTATATTATACAATATTAATTAATAATGAGTTTGAAATGGAATGTAAATTTACAACAATAAAATCCTTAGTTTTTTTTTTCTTGTATAAGGCCTGTGAAGGAACTGATAAGAGATTTACAGGAATATTGATATTAATCAAAATATGACAAAATATGTATCTTCAATACACAGTCCTTAAGCTTGCACTCCAGAGAGGAGAATGTATTAGGTGGTACTTGGATGTTCTGATTTGATCAAAGGTGCTACTTGGCCTGAAAAGTCTGAGAACCCCTGACTTAGAGACTTGAAGGCTTTGCAAAGGATCACAGACCACTGGATTATTCATGTGGGAGGTTGTAAGCGCAGAATTCACAAAGCTCTCATTGTTGCTATGGACATTATGTGTCTGGATCATGTAGCAGTCAATGTGGAGTAGAAGCAGCTATTTCTAAAATGTTCAGAGGGAAAATCACGAAGAGCAAAAGAGCCATTGTGTTTGAATGGTCTTTTGTATTTTACTACCCCATTTTACTATAACAAAGCGGCTCGTTCAAGTGGAAAGAAATGTCAAATCATTCACTCACTCCTCTATCAGATGTCATTGTCAAAGCTAATCACATCACACCTTCAGCTCTGAAGTGTGATGCTCCTATCAATCAGTTCCGTCATTTCTTCTAACAATAGTAATTATCAAAAATAAAAAAACAGTTTGACACATTTCTGAAAGACAAGAAGCAGAAAAGTTTGATTTACCTTAATATCAGATCAAAGTGGTTGCACTAAGAGATACCATGTGGCAGCATCACTGTTAGCAATAGACGTGCATTCACCTTGATTGCACATTCAGCGTGTTGTACTTTCATGTGATATGCCATCAGAATTCAATTCCGCAAGGACTCATTTTCACATATTTACCATGGAGTGTCTGTCTCTTGCTACATAGTATTTCTTCATTGTTTCATTCCTTCAAAATCAACGGATATCGAATACATTCAGAATATTGAATGCAATACATATTCATGAGCCCTATCAACAGCAGAATGAGCGGAGGTGCTGATGAAATGCTTGAATTGCTTCCTCTCAACAGCTTCACTCAGATATGGATAGAGGAGACGGCACAGTGATGTACGTTCTCGCAGGAGATGGTGCGGGGACGATCTTTGTGATAGATTCCAACTCAGGCGATCTGCATGCTACCAGGAGCCTGGACAGAGAAGAGAAGCCTTTCTACACGCTCCGAGCCCAGGTTGTCAACAAGAAGACCGGCCTCCCACTGGAGCCAGAGACAGAGTTTACTGTGAAACTACACGACATCAATGATAATGAGCCCAAGTTTGACAAGGAGGTTTATACAGCGTCCGTACCTGAGAGGTCACACATTGGTAAGATTCGGCAGCTTCAAAAACAAATTTTGTGAGCAAACATGAATGATGTAAATATTGTAGAAGTAATACAAAACAATCTATTGCTTTATATAGTAGTACAAAACAAAAATATATCATATTTTTAAGGAATAATTCAGTCCAAAATAAAATTGTATTATTTACTCTCCCTCATGTTGTTCCACACTGAAAAATTGACACAAAGGTTAATTTTGTCCATGCAATTCGATTCATAGCGACTGGAACCTTTTAAGCTGTAAAAAGGATGCACATTTCATTATTCACTGATAATCTTACCCTGGAAAACTGTTAACTGCTGCAACTGCCCTTGTGAAAAATAAATATTTGAAATGCATTTATTTCATATTAAGTATACTACAAGTATATTTACATATTTATGTACTTATAAAAATACCCTGCAGGTATAATTTTGGTATACTAAACTGGTATACATACTGGTATAAAGTCTGCTAAATTGGAACAAATAATTTTGTACTTAATGCACTTTTATTGTGCGGAAGTACTGCTGAGGTCCAGCTGAAGATATATTGAGGTGTATTTGTATTTGCTAAAGTGGAACTATTGCAAGTATACTTCAGGTATACTTTAAGTATCGTGTTAAGTATGACTAATATTAGACCGATATTTTTTCAAAGATCATACAATCCTCATCAATAGTGACATCAAAACACATTTTAGGCCTCATATTAAGAAATGTGCAATGTGCACAAGTAGTACTCCAAATAAAGTCTAATTACATTTTTTTATCAGTAAGTCTCAAACGATGTCAGTAAATAAGTTAACAGATTTGAACTATACTTAGTATGAAATAAATGTATTTTAAATATAATACTTTTTTACTTGAGTGGCTTAATCAGTGAGTTGAGCTTCAAAACCAAACCAGTCAGATTTGTGAATTAATCATTCACGTTTCGCAAAAATTGGTTCAATTTAATTTTGTAGTATTTTTGTAGCTTGAAATTTTCAGTCCCGAATCATTACCCAACAAGTACATTCATATTTCCTCCTTTTGTTTTCCACTGAAGAAGAACAAACGTCATGTGAGTGACTGCATAGTGACAGGTTTTTCGGTGAACTCTTCCTTAAACTGATTTCTTGTTTTGCAGGCACCTATGTCACTCAAGTTACCGCCCAGGATGCAGATGATGAAATGTTTGGCTACAGTGCTAAGCTGTCCTACAGCATCAGCCAGGGTCATCCATACTTCTCAGTAGAGCCAAATACAGGTCAGTCCTGTTGAACTGTTATATCATAGATAGAGATGGTGAGATAAACAGAGAGACACAGAGATAGTGTGTGTATCTGTAGAATTTGATATGGGGCAAGGGTTGTACTGCAGCTCTGTTGTTCAAGCATTTTAGCCGAGCAAATTCGCCCAGCGAGTTTAATCATTGCTAATGTGTGCCCTGGAACATTTCCCGCAGAGGTCTTTGTTTAAACAAAAGAGAAATAGAAACACAAAAGCTCCCATGGAGCTCCCATATCAGCTTAGCACTGATATGCTTTAGCCCAGATGGGACACGAACGATGATGTACATGAGCACACGAAATCCTAAGACCGAAAAAAGGGATATTCATTAGAGGTGGGGGTTAATCTGGGAACATTTGTGCCATTCAAAGAAGCAGCAGGGCCTGGGTTCTTCTCTACATGAATTACTGGATTTGCCTTTCGCCTTTTTGGGGTCTAACCAAGACATCGGGCGTATTCATGTTCAAAGTCAACGTGAATCACTGCTTGAAAGCCGCTTTACTTCTGTAATGTGACGTAATAGGAATTTCAATGACAAAAAATTTAGGATGGGACTGAGGGCATTACAAACCAGAATGTGAGATTACTAAACAATCCCATAAAAGATATTTAGCTATTGGTTAACATTATCCAGTAGTTGAGTAGTTTTCTTAGAGTTTTTACTTTAAGATTCTGACAAGAGTGACTTAAAATAATGTGCAATGATCAAAAACATTCACAATAACAAAAGGAATTTATAATATCTTTAATAATAATAATAATTATTAGTAGTAGTATTATTATTGTGTGTGTATCATATAAATATACAATTAATATAATAAATAAAATTGAACAATTATGCATAATTAAGGGTTATGATTACATGTTGTCTTAAAGGGGTCATAGGATGCCCATTTTCCACAAGTTGATATGATTATTTAGGGTCTTAATCCTATGTAAAAAAACTATGTAAAGTCTGTAACATAGTTTGGTTAAAATGTCTCAATGGTAGTGTAAAAAACACCTTTTTTACCCTGTCAAAAACAGCTCTTTTCAGATCAAGCCGTTTTTGTAGCATTTTCCTTTAAATGTTAATGAGCTCTGCTAACCCCGCCCCTCTCTTCCGAGCTGCTCTCTGAGGGACTGTTTACTTTAGCCGCATTCATCGTGAAACTTGCTAATTAGCACATTATTAGGAAAGGCGATTTGCAAAGATTAATTACAAAACATTATACTCACTTCTTCTGTAGATGAGGCTGGATCATGAATGATTTGCGCGAACATAGACGCATT